CCGCTGGTTTTGACCGAGTTTCGCAACACGCTGCAATTTAACAGCAGAGGATACCCAACCAAAGACTCAATCCTGGCAGCACTGGCTTCCGCACCAGATAACCCCCCGCTGAACTTCGGTGCTTTAGAGGCTCAACACTTTCTCTCTTGGATTTTGTCAATGAAGAACAAGAATGGAGGGTATCATTCATTTTCAACCTACGTGGGTCATCGCTCAGCACTGTACAATCTTTTCCGTGATTACCACTATACAATGTCACCTCAGTTAGAACGGGAGCTGAGCTGCCATTTCAAAGGTCTTCAGCATCGAATAGCGAGTGCTATTAGTAGCGGAGATGGCCCTATCAAAGTTGGTAAGGATCCGATGACGTTCAGTCTATATCGTAGTATTGCGATGGAGATGATGAGATCGACGTCGCGCGAAATGATTTTTGCGAGGGTGTTTCTAGTACTATCGTGGAATCTGATGTCTCGGTCTGCCAACACTGTATCGCTGTGCTACAATCACATGGAGTGGGGAGAGGACGCACTAAAAGTGTTCTTTGCTCACATGAAGAATGACCAACGAGGCACACGCCCTCGAGACCCCCGGCACATCTACGCGAATCCACCGATGCCAGAGGTCTGCCCAATTCTCGCCATAGGTATGTACACATCTACTATATTGTCCCAGTTCTAATATATTATCATTTACACATCGATAGGTCTCTACTGGATGGTATATGGCGTCGATTCAAACGTGAACCAAGTATTTCCTGGAAACGACCAATACGACCGCTTCCGAAAAACACTCCGTCGGGTGTCAGAGTCCCCTGGTGTGAAAAACGAGTTAGACCGCGTTGGCGTACGCTGTGATGACATTGGTACTCATTCTATGAGAAAAGGATCTGCTACCTATTGCTCTTCAGGCTCAACAGCGTGCCCACCAGCAATAGCAGTGCACTTACGGGCTGGATGGGCTCTTGGTGGCGTCCAAGACCGATATTTACGACACGATTCGGCTGGTGATATGCTTGTTGGTCGCACGGTGTCCGGTTTGCCAATCCATAAATCTGAGTTTGCAATTCTTCCACCCAGGTTTAAAGGCGGGCGATATCAAGTTGAGACGGCAAAACGAATTTGCTTTCGTGGTTTGCCCCCGAACGTCTCATTAATTGGCGAATATGCTCTAGCGTCTACCGTCTACCACTACGCGTACTTGAAGGAGCACCATCCTGATGAACACCCAATTTTTCAAGCGTCTTTGATGCGAAACGAGCAGAAAATTCAAGAATTGAAGGAGTTTATTATCTGTGACGAGGCCAGCAGTGAAGAGACGATCACTGCCACTGGTGTTTCACCCCACGTTGTTTTATAATCGGAATTTCAATCGTTAAAGAACATGGTCGAGTTACAGCGCTCGGAGCAGCAAAATGTAGCTTGTGAAGTTATTGAGGGTATCCGCTTAGTTTTAGACGAAGCAGCGGAACACCTGGGTACTCCAAGTTGTTCCCGAATTGCAACTACAGTACTCAACTGTCTTAAAGAGGGAGGATATCTGTGTCAACCACCTGAGCCAAAGAACGAGTTGAGCCCAATACAAGCACGGA